CCGGAATTTTCTAATTTTTTTATCGAAATATCTAAATTTGTATTCGGACTTAAGGAAAAGGGTTCATTGGTTTGAAAAACCTTAAACTCAAATTCTAATCTATACCCTTTAATTATACCCAAAATAAAAGAATCTTGAGTGATCTGAGCCCAATTTTTAAAAAAATATTTTAGTCTGGCGGCAGTTCTTACTTCATCGATTATCTCCTGGTTCTCTGCGGCTGGACTGGGAATAAAACCTCTTTGACGGATTCCTTTGACTGCTGAAATTGCTTTGCTGGTTCTTGGAGGTGTTGAATTTTTGATTGTAGTTGGAGCTCCCCCGATTCACCTCCTTCTTGATGGTGGAGCTGCGCCAGTTTAAAGACCTGGTCGGATTTCTAAAATTTTGTTTTTCTTTAGGTTTTAGTTCCTTGGAAAGTTTTTCCATAGCTTTGGAAGTATCAATTAAAGTTCTTAAATTGTCACCGAAAAGAAGAGAAGTGGGTTCGACTTTTCTTAGAACCTTTTGAATTCTTTCTTCGTATCTACCGAGAAGAAAAGTTTTTCGCGCCATTGTCAAGGCAGAAAATAATTCTGATAACAATTTTAAAGAAATCGAAAGATTTCTTAAAACCTCCTCTCGATCAAGAGGAATATTTTCGTCCTCTAGAATAGCATTGAAAATTGATGCACAACTTGATAAGGCTGCTCCCGTCAGGTTTTGATAACCTTTAAAATGTTCATCTCTAGCTAACACCTTCGGATGAACGTCGACCTTAACCTACTCATTAAGTGCAGGCGCTTCTAAATTTAGCGCCCCCTTTCGAGGGACTAATGCAATTAAATTTTCTTTTTCTTCTTTTTTTCCGATTCCGTCTTCAATCCAAACTTTTAATCTATTCACGAGATCTTCGCGCAGCTTTAATTCATTCGAAGGTTTAACAGGATCGCCTCCCAAGAAAAAACCAATCTCATTTTCTGTATCGCTTTCCTCCATTGGCGCGTCACCCTTGTCCGCCATGTTCTGGTCGTTCTGGTTTTCGTGTTTAATATGTCTGAATGAGAAAATGGAAACTCATTTAATTTTTGAAATGAGTTATTAGACACAGAAAAAGATTTGCATTCCGTCCTTAATTCCTGATTAAGGATCAGAGTTTCATTTTGACTCAAGGCTACAGTTCCAGACTGAAGCTCGGTCTTTTTGCCAGGAGAGTTCGTCTGAGACGTGAATCCAAATTCTAAATAATTACCTTCGTAAGACAATTCTTCCTCGGTTTCTTCCATTTCTGCTAACTCTCCATGCACAATATTCATTTGCCTTTCCAAATCCTGCAATTGTTGCTGCTTTAATTCCCTCGCCGTCCTTGCGTCCATTTTAAAAGTATTTTTAACAACTGGTCGTTACTAACGCCAAGAAACGAATGAAGTAGAGAGTAACAGCAAGGGGAAAGAATAGAAGGAGAGAGGAGAGCGTCCGATTTTCCTCTTTCTATCTCTAAAAAGTGGCGTCATCTGGCAACAAGTTGCGGTACTACAAGTAACTAAGTATCTTCGAACAAGTAAAATGAAATATAATCTCCCACAAGTTAACTTCCCATAAGTTAATTTTCCCCTATCGTGTACCACTTCCACCTAAAAAAATAAACATGCGCATAGTGTTATCAAGATGGCGACACATCATAACCTCAAAAGACTTGAAACATTATATATTTAATAATATTTTGAAATGGACCGCCATGCGCAATAGGTTACTGCGCAACAATTTCCCCTTAGACCCACCAAAATTAACTTGTGGGAGACTCTACTGTACAGTAGAGTGCAAAGATGCCTTCCTAGTTTGAACGTGTCACACTCATATGTTTCCATAGAAACATATGAGTGCGACACGTTCAAACTAAGAAGGCATTTGGTACCCTACCGTACCTCAAAAATTTCAAACACATTGCATTTTTTATGGTGGGGAGTAAAATGCCCATGTAATTTACGTCAAAAACCTCGAGTGACGCGTCACTTCCCAACACTGCCCACAGGTTAAAAAGGCCAACGCACAACTGCTTCGCGAACCACTTTCGCGAAGTAGTTGTGCTTACTGCTTAGGCCTATACTCCGTCCATATTAGGTAGTTCAAGTTGGGTGGGGGAAATCCAATATGGCTGATATCAGCTGATTTACCGGAGGACAATCAATGCATTGAAGTCAATGGGACGAATCAGTTTTTTAACCATAACTTTTTAAAAATTCATTTTTGAACCATAGTGTAATGGAAAATTATTCTTTATTTATCAAAAGCTATTTTTAAAAATAATAAAATTTAATTTTTTGGTTTATAACTGGAGGCCCAGATCTCCAATTATAACTAAGGGGAAAAGGGGAGGAAGGAGAGTAAAATGGAAGACAACAATACTTTAAAATAACAAATGTTTATTTACTTACTTATCATTTGTCTTATTTCCACCTGGGAATATGGTCACACAATGATAACGGCGAAAACTGTCACAACGAGGTATAGACAGGTTTATCCTCAAACAGGGCAAAACAACAACCCTAGTAGAAATTTGTTATGGAGCCAGTGGCGGATCCAGAATTTACTCCAGGGGGGGGTCATTTATAGATTCGGCGAGCAACGACCATAATTAGATGACCTTTTTTTTATGTAAATTTTTCGCCCCAGGGGGGGGGGTCATGACCCCCCCCTGGATCCGCCACTGCATGGAGCCACTCCATTGTTCAAGTTACTGGACAGTTTTTGTCACGGACGCTGATTCTAAGCGGACTGGTAAATAACTAAAGTTACTAACCAACGCTCTTCGTCAAAAGATTCAAGTTGAATTTGATATTGGCTAGACATAACTTCTGTCTAGTTTTTTTTAATGTTACTTTAAAGTACTCCTAGAAATTATAGTTCTAAGTTTGTCGTGTCGATGACACTGCAATATGTCTAATAACTATAGACAGCTCGACTGATTATTTGCTAGAGATAAATTTGTTCTTATTTTTTCCAATATTTTAAAACTTTTCATTTTAATTTGTTATTAATTAAAAATTTAATTAATTTATTACTATAAATTTATAATATTAATTAATAATAAAATTAATTAATAATATTAACTAATTAATATTTACAATCATTTATAATAAATATAAAAATAATAAAATTAGTTGAAAATTAATTTTTTTAAATTCCATTTTAGTTTAATTATAATTTTCTATTAATTGAAAATTTAATAAATTTATTATTATTAATTAATAATCAATTAATCATATTAAATAATAAAATTAATTAATAAATATTTATAATAATTTATAATAAATTAATAAAAATAATTAAAAATTTTATTACAGTAATCAATTTATTTATTAATTGTTAACGTTGCAAATTAAATTACTAAAAAGTTATAATAATTAAAAAATCATCTAAAATGTTTTAGTACATAGAAAATATTAAAAGTATACATATACCAATGCTTTAAATCTCTAGTTACGGCACTGAACTGAAACATATGTGCAGTGGTTATTAATTCTCAGTATCCATTATCCATTGCGTTGAACGGCCGAGTGCGTTAAGCGGTGCTACTTTAGTCTAGCGGGACCCGGGTTCGCTCCCCGTTTACTCCCCAAGATTTTTTCGGTGAAATTGCGTTATCGTTTTAAGGTTTATATATAGATTATAATTGTATATACTATTAAAAATTATTTGTTTCAGCGTTATTGTTAATAAAAGTGCTTTAAAAAAATGAAAGTTGTTTGAAAACAGTAAATATTTAGGATATTCGAATTTAGAATTTTTTTTTAATTGAATTAAAAATCAAAAAGTAATGTAGAAAATTACAAGTAATAATGTACTATTTACATTATTTTTATATAATAATTCAACTAATTAATTAAAAATTATAAAATATTATATAATTTTTTATTCTATTCCATTTATTATGTATATATTATAATGGATACAGAAATTTTCCAAAAATATTTTTTATTGAATTTCTTTGGTGCTAAATAGAAATTTTATTTTAATTGCATGAAGATAGTAACTTGATGAAAAAAGCGTGACACTCCATTCCAGTTATTAGGCAGTAAAGTAACTAGACAATTTCAAGCGCGACTGGACAGTTCCTTTATAATAACTAGGACAAATTTCTACTAGGGAAGTGTCGCGTCTACTTGCTAATCCGGCGATTGACACCCTCGAGGCCCTTCGGTCGTTTCCGGGTTCAATCGCCTGATTCGCAGCAGACGCGGGAAGATTTGTAACGCCACGTTACAGGTTTTATTGTTTTAAAAAATAGCTTTCGATAAATAAAGAATAATTTTCCATTACACTATGGTTCAAAAATGAATTTTTAAAAAGTTATGGTTAAAAAACTGATTCGTCCCATTGACTTCAATGCATTGTATGTCCTCCGGTAAATCAGCTGAAATCAGCCATATTGGATTTCCCCCACCCAACTTGAACTAGCTAATATTCTTACGTCCATGGCACGCACAACGAATTTCACTGAAAGTATACATCTTTGTTTCCTTATATATTAACTGATGAAAATTTAAAGCACTTACGAGAAAGCAGTTTTCTTGTAACAACTTATTATAGATATAGTTCTTGGGACAGGAATAATGCAAAATTTATAAATGTGACGCGTCGCGAAGAAAAGCACCTAAGAAGTTGCCATCGGCTCAAATACGGAGATTGACGAAGTTAGCAACCAATAGAAATGCAGGCGCCACATGACTGCACTCGCTAGCCTACACTTGTTCACCAGAAATTACCACAATTGCACACAATTAATATTAGTTTTTTATAGAAAATGTTTTTATTTTTCAGATTTTGTCTAATATAATTAGATGAAATTATTTATCAATTTTGGCAAATTTATCTATTTCTTTTGTACAATATGATGTAAGTCCCCTTATTTCCGCACTTTGCTATGAGCTTTTTGTAATTTTTGCTAATAGCGGTCTCTCCGTGTATATTTCACAGCAAAAACTTTTATTGATGTTTATTGTGTAAAATCTATCATACAGGTGGTGGTTTGTGTGCTCTTTTGCCACTGGATTTACTTTGTCCATTTGATCCTCTACTAACACCGCATTGTTCCGCACATTCCGAATCCTATCATCACGACGCTACTTGTTCTGGAATCTCAATATATAACTGTAAGTGTCGAAGCTAGAATAGCTTTGTGCACGTGCATGCAATTGTAGATTGTAGAAACCTGCATAACAAAGTTAATACTTTAGAAAGGTGATTTTTCCCTCGTATTTTCTCCATCACAGTACACTGGAATACCTATTGCAACCTTGGTAAGAAGGGATCGATTAAAATATATTCAAATGTTTACCCATTTGCATTTTAATGTACTTAATTTCCTTTTATTAAAATAGATTAGAATGTTAGTAATATTTATGTCATAAATGGATTGAAAGGAAAATATTTGTAGAACCCAGTAAAAAAAGAATTGCCCGAAAGCGAACGTTTACACGTGAAAACCGTATTGGGGGGTTACGTCCAATTCTGTTTTTTTACCGTCAATCATATCCTCCTAAATTTCTCGGCCTCATGTTTATTGACTTAATTTGGCATTCTAATCGAAAGCAGACTATGTATACAGTGGAACTTCGATTTTCCGTCTCTCGGTCTATCGTCACCGCGGTTATCCGTCACTGTCAAAGATAATTTTTTTTAGGGGCCATTCAAGTATTACGTAAGCATATTTTTCAGGTTTTTAGACCCCCCCTCCCCCATGTATGATTTTTTATATGCATTAGCGCCATTTTTTCTAATGAAAATAAGCAATAGCTGGACCCTCCCTTCCCCTCCCCCTTAAATGCTTACGTAATACTTGAATGGTCCCTTATTTAAAAAATTGACTTTGCTTTGACTTTTCGGCTTTTTTAAATCAAAAAATAAGATGTTACGTTTTTTTTTAATACAAATTGAGGCCTTGGATCCAATAACTCGCGCGACGCTCGAAGGCACGCGCTAATACCAGTCGGGTAGCAGTGAGTGGCCCAAAGGCGCTCACTGCTCACTGACTGATAATTGCGCGTTCCTCTGAGCGTCGGGCGAGTTATTGGATCCAAGGCCTCAATTGTTTTGTAAAATTGTTTGTTTACATATTGAAGTCCATAATATAGAAAAGTATAGGTTATATAAATCTCAAATCACTTGTAACTTCGACTATCCGTCATTTTGGTTTTCCGTCAAGGTGTTGGTCCCGTGCCTAACGGAAAATCGAAGTTCCACTGTACTGTTGATCTATTACCATATGATTTAGGAAGTTTTCGAGGTTCCCCTGAGAAAAGGTACACTTATACTTCCAGCGCCTTAAGCACGAGCCTCAAAATCATACGGTAACAGATCAACACTACAATCTACCTATCAAATTTCAGTTTCTTCACATTTTAACAAAATTTCGTACTTTCTGTTCGTCATCGGCATTTTTACACTTTAAAACACTCACTCTTCTCAATTGGAATGAATTATACTCCGCAACTAATGATTTCCTTAAACGGAATTAAAGGGAATTCAGATTCTGGTGACATGGTTACAGAGAATTGAATAGAAATGAATAACTTAACTTATTAACTTAACAATTGATTTGGAATTCAAGGACATAAAAGTGCCAATCCACTTTAATTCACCCCTTATTACTGAGTTCGTCAACGAAGATCACAGAAATGAAGAATAAAAATAACACAGTTTTTCATGCGGCTAATTTATATAACCCTGAAGAATTGACTGCATTGATAAAACAAAGTAAATGTCGAGCGAGAAATGTAACAAAATAGTTCGGATCATGGTTGAAATAAAAACAGTTCAGTAGCGTTCTGGTATTTTCTTTCTACCACAACGCGTTTTGGAGCAATATTATATGAGATTAGTTTAATACAACGTGTTGTGGCGCATGTACTCTTATACCATAACACGAATTTCGTGTTATTACCAAATTCAAATAGCCAGAACGCGCTTGGTCGATTATTTATTCAATAAGCGTTTTCGGGTTTTGACCCTAAAACAGTTCATTTTTTTACATTCGAAAATGAATTCTGGCCGGCGACCTAAAAAATTCCAACTTTCGCAAAGTAAAAACCACCCTAGTCTATGATCTTCTATATTCTAGACGTCGAAGTTGTTGTCTATTAGACGTCTATCGCTCAGAACTCGAGTGGTCTATTCGACACAACACTGCTAGATTTCGAACCATGCCATGCCAACTCCCTACCTAAAATTGGACCCTGTAATTCTTTATATTTTGACCTTAGGCTTGCAATCAGCTACCTAAATTCGTGTTTAGTATAATATAAAAATGTGCATGAAGCAAAATTGACAATTTACCTACCTGACAAGCAACGAAATTATTATTTAACAAAAATTACATATAGGATAAATGTTACAATAGTAGACCACCGGCATACCAGATTATTATTAGAAGACTTATTAGCAATGATAATACAAATGTTTAGTGATAAACAAAGTTTATAACCAGTTGAATTCCATTTATGACGTAAATATTGCTGACACTTTAATTCAGTTTAATAAAATTAAATGACATTCTGTTGAACGACAATTTTGTTACATGTCGAGCAAAGGTGGGCAGAAAAGCGTTAATCCGTTAATCGTTAATTAACGGAGTTAACTTTTTCGTTACTTTTAAAAACCTTTAGCGGACTGGTTAACTTCCGTTACATTTCTCTTTCGTTAACTTGCGTCCGTTAAATTTATTCTTTTTTTTGAAATTTCGTATTAGCATAATAAAAAATATTTTGTCTAAACTTTAGAACGAATTCAGATTAGCAGCAAAGGAATGCCACGCGATATAATGTCGAAATCATCGATCAGTTATACACACTTGCTATTTACTGAGATCAGGTTGAGACTATAATAAACAAATATATCTTGGGCAACGCATATACACGGAGAAAATTTATTCCTGAAATTTACCGAATTTAGTTCTGTAAAACTGAGATGAACTGTCAAAACAGTAATTTTTCAACAACTAGACTGTAAAACTTGAGTAAAACGTAAGATAGGTGTTCGCTACATTCATTTTTACTGAATAGTTTGGTAAAACGTAAGATAAATGTTCTTCTTCTTCTTCTTCTTCTTCTTCTTCTTCACTTATTTTCTACAGTATGAGAGTTACTTATAGGCATTAACGTATAATTTTTTTCTTAGAAAATGCAGGTCGTCAAACTTTGACAAAAAAATTTAAGAAATTTGAAATATAATTTTTTGTACTACAAATTATTCTAGAAAATGTATAAAACATGATATGATGTAGATTTTTAAAGAGAATTTAATAAAAAAATATGTTTGAATTTTAAAAATTATTTTTCTGTTAATAAGATTGTTTAAAATTTTTTGAATATTTTTGGTCCAAGTTTGACAATCTGCATTTTCTATGAAAAAAATTACACGTTCATTATTTTAGAAGTTATTCAAATTTTTGTAAAAATTGAAAATGACGATTCTTTAAAAATAACTAAATAAAATATTGGATAAATGACTTCTAAAAAATCTTGTTCTTTTCAAAATTTTATCATCTTTTAAGAAAAAAAAGAAAAAAAATTTAGTTTCCATTAATTTTGTATTAAAATGTTTTTCATTCATCTGAAAATGCGTGGTCTCTTAATTTTGACCGGTAGTATAATGCGGATATAGTTAAATATGCAATAAAAATGCAGTTTGAAAAAACTAAGTTACTCATGTGAGAAGGGGGGGGGGGGCTTCAGCAAAAGTCTACGTTAGTCTACGCAGGGGGAAGAAGGAACCAAAAAGTGACAAAAATAGGTCTACGTAGCTTATGAACGCTCCCTTTACAGTCGTGTTATTTAATGCTATCGGTCTATAATTTTCTGTTTATTCCATTATCTCCCTTCTTCAACATTATATTAGTTACAAACTTTCCCCAATTCTGCGGGATCGTCTCAGTTTCAAAAATTTTATTGAAAAATTGTTCTAATTGTAAGAACAGAAACCAATTCCATTCTTACAATTGGAAATACTACGGATTACTTCCTGAAATATAATAAAATTGTCCAAAATATAGGATGAGATACATTTAAGAACGAATTATTTAACGCTGACCTTGAGGTGATTATAGGATTGGATGACCGGAGTTAATCAATTCGTGACTGTTGAATAGGACGCGTTCTAACTGAATTAATAACAGTCCAAAATTGATTTTGTCTAGAGGTGTGCATTTAATCGAGTCGAACCGAACATTAATCGACTCGATAACAGAAAATTCGAATCGGAGATAATTCGATTCGAACTAGTCAATTCGAAAATCGGCATTTCAAATTGCACAACTCGACTCGATTTTCGAATCAAGTCGGCCAATTCGAAAATCGAAGTTAGACTTTCGAATTGCTATGTAATGTGCTATGATGTGTATGCTGTATGTTGTGCAATTCGAAACTTCCAATTTCGAATTGTCCGATTCGAATCGAAAGTTAATCGAGTCGAGTTGTGCAATTCGAAACTTCGAATTGGCAAGTTCTAATCGAATTTTGCACACCTCTAGTTTTGTCGCTTTCAACAAGCAATTTTGTCAATAATTAATTTGCAATCATTTTCGTTTCTAATTTTTATCAAGTTTCTTGAGGACGAATTTACACTTAATAAATCATTGATTCTTGTATTTAATAACAAAAAATGTATAGGTTAACTCCTCACTAATCTTTCATACTGTTCGCTTTCACACAACAAATATATTTTTAATCTTTTCTAATTTAAGTCTGCGAAGGAACACTTATAAATATTGTTCTCTCTTGATTGAAAACAGTAACAATTTCATCTATTAACATTCTTAAACTAAGTTATTTTAATTTAATAAATGTGTCAATGAAAGTCGAAAGTTTATGTCAAGTTTGTTTTTTAATCCTTCTTTTTAAATGTATTTTAATAAAATTTACATTTTCTGTAGATTCAGCTGAAGTAGGTCCTGAACAAGATTTCAAACCTTCGCAAGGTGCAAAATGTCGACAGCCAAGTACGAATGCTAACCAGTTTGAAACCCAGTCAGAATCTTTTAAAATTGTTGGAGCTTTGCCAGGACCAAGTTCTACTGCGAGAAAGAAAATTGATGTAGACCCAGTGAAGAGCAAAGTCTCTCAGAAGACATCAAAAACTCCATCGAGTTTTAACGATGGTCGACCCTTCCTGATAAGCAACACGAATATTCCGTCTGGCAATCTGAGTTACGGTAAAGCAGAATTTCATAAGCAGGAACACCAGAGGAAGTCCTCGATAAGCAAACGGAAACACTCGAATGGAGAAAATGTGGTCATGGATAGATTCGGCAGGCCGATGACTGTTCGACCGGAAACAGTGAATGTTCTGAAACAGTTACCTGACATTTCATTCCTTAGTGCGCGAACGTTGCTTTTCAGTCCCGACGAGAGACACATGGTGCAAGACTTGGGCGCTATGATAAATCGAAAAATGCCTGGCTGAGTAACGTCGGTCTGAATATGAGTTTGAAAGGGCTATCAACGAAATTCTACAACATATTCAGAAAGACATTAAAACAGGACACGTACATCAACGTTCCCACTGACCGACAAAATCAAAATCCTTTGACTCCTACTACCTTTCAAACTTGTGTTCAGGCCAAATTTTCATCTTGACTCTATTAAAGTTCAATAACTTGAATTATCCTTCAAACTTGTGTTCAGGCCACCTTTCAAATTGCCTTTCTCATTGACAAAAGTCAGGAGGAAAATTCATGTTTCACTTCTAAAAATTTACATTCCGGCAAATGGAATTTTATATTTCAAACGATGAAGTAGCATTTTTATGAATGAAGCACTTTAATATTTCCTAAAAATTTCATTTCAAGAAAATTTCAATAAATTAAATATTGCTAAATAAGAATATTTTTAAAAAATTGAGAAAGCCAAAAGAATGCAAAGAAAATAATGTGAAGCATCTAAAAATCCATTTCAGTTCTTTTCTAAATAATTTTTCTTCATTGCTGGACAGAATATTTTTTGTTTTGTTGTTCTTTATTAATCAATTATTAAATTAAACAACCTGTCTTGTTCTGATATTTAATTATTATTTAAACTTTCTGTTTCATGATAAATTGTTTTTCAAGAAATAATTGAAATTTATAAAAGATTTTCTATTTATTGCAGATACTTAAATTACAAGTGTAGAATAATGATAAATCTTTTGCTTTACGTTATTTTGGCTTCAAAATTCCAAGTTCTCTTCTGTATGGAAATTTAAAGAAATTCAAAATTCTAAGTCTTTGAAAACTGATCTGTTAATTTTTCAGAAATTTATAAAATGAAATGTAGTTGGCTTTTTACAAATGTTCAATCACAGATCATACAATCAATAATGAAGGGAACTTATCATCACTAATTTATACTCAATCGTAAGTCAATTAAATAATAAAATTATCTAAAATCATTTTCATGGCACATTAAATTTAATTTCTACTAATAATTTTTCATTTTGTGGTAGCAATGTTTAGCAAACTTGGCGATATTTCGAAGAAAGGATAATTTAAAAATTTGTTTAACATCATCATTATTGGTAGTTTTTTAGACGAACTATAATTTACAAATCTTTGTAAATGGCAAATAAATTACTTTTTGTTATACCTAATTATAAACAACTTTAAATATTGTTACTTCAGTTTGATAAAAATTCATTTGTTTCCCTCATTACACAAAATTGTAAGAACTTTAATTTTTAAAAGTTTAATTTTCACCTCAAAAGAGAAAATAACTTGATAGTTGGAGTTCCAATTGCCTTAAAATAGAATGCGATTCATTTGTTTCGAATCAATCGACTTCTTATTGTACTTAATTCAGATATGTTACAAACTGAAAACTTTTTCTTTGTTATTTATTAATTCTAATGATATTGTAATATATATTTTATGTAAAATATTGTGATTATAAAAGAAATAAACAAAACGTTGAAAATTGAAAATTTCCTCTCTTACTCTTGTTGTTTGCAACTATTTTTAACAAGACATAAAATTGTACATTACATAGAATTGAAATTAATTTTAAAATTCTTTGTTCTTATAACATAAAAGTTCCGAAAATACAATTAAGAAAAGAATGTCTTTATGTGTGTCTGTCCGCAAAACTTTATGACCACAATTCACGCAAAAGCAGCTTGATCGATTGAAATAAAACTTGACTGTTTTCTAGGCATTAGCCCAACTTAAAATCCTATCAATATTAGATTAAAAAATATTAATATGGACTGAAGTTGTGACACTTTTTCAAAAATTCAGAATTTTTAATTTCTTGATATATATTTTAATCTATTTCACTCAAAGTTAATATAGGGTTAATATTAGTGTTTTTTTATCAAGATTTCGTCGTCAGAATAGTAAAATTGCGAATTACAAGTTTAAAATGTCCAATTCAAATATTTAATGCTCAAAAAATCAAAAATAAGTTTACTTTGTTAAAAGTGTTTATTCCCAAGTGCGAAATGCCAAGACTGCAAATACGGCCCATCATTGGTGCAGTAATGTCTGCCGAGAATTGGCAGTAGTTACTGGGCCATTATTGGTGTTCAAAACGTCCCATTACTGGGCCAATGATGGCGCCGATGGTCAGAATTTCAAATTTTTTAAGACTTGGGCCAGCTCTCGGCCCAATAATGGCACATTCACGGCAAAGTTGATCAATCTTTAATGGTAAAAGACAATTGCCAGTGATGTGACGAAGATCGGTCCATTAAAGGTACATTAATAGCATTTTAATTTGGTAAAATTTTTTATAAGAATTTAATTTTAAGAAACATTCAGTTATGGGTCAGAATTCGTGAAATTTTCACAGAAAATAAAAAGTATTTTTTTTAAATCGAAATGTTGAAAAAACATTTCTATTTGGCCTTAAGAATGTGTCCACCAAAAAACAGGAAAAAAAATTATTTTTTATAAAAGTTATTGCAAAATTAATTTTTTAGCAACTTTTTAAACAAAATTTTATTTCTCCTAAATGAATGAACCGATTTAAATGAACCAAGCTGGAATATTAAGGGGATAAAATATACTTTCGTTTAGAATTAGAAAATTTCTAAAAAGTTTATTTTTTAATAATAATTTATTAATAAATTTTTTATAAACAATTAATTTTTTTTAATGTTCTGCGCCTTTTAAAAATTTAAAAAAAATATTAACATACACTTAAAACTATAAGAAATCAAAATCCGTTGAGAAAATTTTGGAGCGACAATTATTTTAAAAGTTATAAACAAATCATATTGAACGGAGATGCGATTTTGATGATTTTCAGAATTAAAACATTATTTTTAAATACGAAATGAACAAAACACTGTCAAATTAACATTTTTATTTAATTATATAACCATAAAAATTGATAAAAATGATCAAAAACGAAGTTCAGCGTTGATGCACAACACCGCGCCAATATAATTTGTTTATAACTTTTAAAATAATTGTCGCTCCAAAATTTTCTCAACGGATTTTGATTTCTTATAGTTTTAAGTGTATGTTAATATTTTTTTTAAATTTTTTAAAGGCGCAGAACATTAAAAAAAATTAATTGTTTATAAAAAATTTATTAAATAATTATTAAAAAATAAACTTTTTAAAAATTTTCTAATTCTAAACGAAAGTAGATTTTATCCCCTTGATATTCCCGCTTGGTTCATTTAAATCGGTTCATTCATTTAGGAGAAATAAAATTTTGTTTAAAAAGTTGCTAAAAAATTAATTTTGCAATAACTTTTATAAAAAATAATTTTTTTACCTGTTTTTTGGTGGACACATTCTTAAGGTCAAATAGAAATGTTTTTTTAACATTTCGATTTAAAAAAAATACTTTTTATTTTCTGTGAAAATTTCACGAATTCTGACCCTTATTCAATAAATTATTTATTTTGTATTTAAATAATTGAATAAGCTTGAAAAGGATTGAAATTAAAATATTCGAAACTTTAAATTTTCTATATTTTTTACTGTCAATTTTAAAGAATTAATTTTTTTGAAAAAGTTTAATTAAGTATTAATTTAAAAAAGAAGTTATTAATGTTTTCAAATAATTTTACGATTAAAGAAATTCGTAAATAAATGTAACAGAAACCTTTTTTTGAGTAAAATTTTTCCTTTAATTATTATCTAAAAATTAAAAAATTTTCAATTTATTCAATAAATTATTTATTTTTGCATTTAAATAATTAAATTCTCGTAGAATTTTCTAGTAAAAATTGATTTCAAAATGGATTCTAGTCAAATTTTTAGATAATAATTAAATATTAAAAACATAGCATGAATTTTGATATTAAAATTTTTTTAAATTCAATTGCCAATGATGTGACGAAGATTGGCCCATTAAAGGCACATTAATGGTAAAAATGTTGTATCTTTAATGGCAAAATATAATTGCCAGAATTGGGGCGTTGCTTAGCCGAATAATGGCACATTCACGGCAAAGTTGATCAATCTTTAATGGCAAAATTCAATTGCCAGTGATGTGACGAAGATCGGTCCATTAATGGCTCATTAGTGGCATTTTAATGGCAAAAATTTTGTATCTTTGATGGCAAAATATAATTGCCAGAATGGCAAGAATGGCACATTAATGTCTATCATTTTGTATCTATGATGGCAAATTATAATTGCCAATATTGGGACGTAGCTCGGCTCAATAATGGCACAGTATCGGCCAGTGTAGTGTAGCTTATAAGAACCCTTTTGCTTCCTCGACTTCAAGTCAGAGTAGCAGAGTGGTCAGAGTGTTAGGCTGTGGTGCGTCAGGTTCAGGTATCGATCCCCGCGAGAGGTAAGAATTTTTCAAATATTTGTAAGTTTGCGTTTAATTTAGGGAAATAAGCCGTATAAATGTTATAAATTAATTAGTTAATTGAATAAAAAAAATTTATTTTTATTTTTTTCCAATTTTGTCAACACTGGGGGAGTAATGGCAGCCAATATTGGGCCATTAATGTCTGCCCAGATCTGGCTGCCAATATTGGGCCATTAATGTCTGCCGAGATCTGGCTGCCGACGTCCAACCGCTGTTAACACCACAAGAGTCGGGCCAATATTGTCTGCCAAGTCTCGATGCCAGCTTTGCCAATACTGGGCCAGTGTTGGGCCGCGTTGGTTTTCGCACTTGGGTTACAACATTTTTAATTTTTTTAAATTATTGAAAATTTGATTTTGGTACAATGTTACTGAGTAAAAATTCACCAAGTTTTAGTATTTTCAAGTACTAGTACCTGATAATCGGTTCACGGACTATTTTGAAAATTTTAAAATTATTCATAATATTTTTTGTTACTTAAAGATAATTGAACCTTTTCATTAAAATTGTTATAACAAATTGAGTTTTTGCACAAATTAAATAAAACTTTATGGTTACATGAGTGAGTAAATGTACTTTCATGTAATGAAATGAAAATTTAAAATCATTGGTTTTTACTGGTATGTACACTAATAATTGTAACTGTAAATCAGTCAAATATTTTGACTGATACAAAAAGCCACTGAAGTCGACTGAATAGTCTGTCAATTATTTTAACTGCCTTATATCAGTCATTTTAACAAATACACCTGTTATTTTTTTAAGATATAAAAATAAATTATATTTATCTGTAACATAGACAAAATAACAGTACTTCTTGATATAAATATTGGTTAAAATTTTTTACTTTAAATGCAATATGCATTATGCATTATGCAATAATATTGAAATTCAAGGTCAAATTCTTAATTTCAATATATACATATCTCAAAATCGGTGTTTTTTTATTTTTTTCTAACCTAACCTTATCATTATTTTATAAAGAAAATGATGATTTATAATTAATTTCTTTAAAACTTTTCATGGTCCCACTCTGGTTTTTACATGGCTTATAGGAAAAAAGGTAAGCTTTCGATTGGGATAGGTTAGAAAAAATAAAAAACACCGATTTTGAGATATATTGAAATTAAGAATTTGACCTTGAATTTCAAGGTCAAATTGAAAGAAAACAACTTTTTTCATCACCAGCTTATAGCCCGTAAAAACTCCTTTAAAAATCACTATTCATACTTTAAATTTGATTAATTTTACTTATCAACATATTAAATCGGAAAAAAGATATTTTCAAAAAAATCAAAATTTTGAAACTCCGTAACTCAAAAAATATTTTATCAAATTCAAAAAAAATTTATATTTACACTTCTACTAATAATAGTAACATTTTAGTAAAGTTTAGAGGAAATTCATTTTTTGACCTGAGCAGTTGAGGAACTTTGCCCCATATATTATATAAAAACTTTTTTTCACCAAACAAATTTCAGTTCAATACTTACCTATCTAATTTTTGTTCAATAAGCAATATTTTAAAAATTTGTTGAAGAGTTTTTCATCCTTACACACCTTATATTAAAATTATTAAATTTTTTAATAAATTAGTTACTAAAAGAATTTAATATTATTAAATATTAATCAAAATAATCAAATTAAACAATGAAATTTACTATTTTATCAATAAAAATCATTATAATTACTTCAATCGCAATAATATTGAAAGGTGCGCTGAAACTAAGCATTAAGGGGTTACATGAGTCAAAACGTCCAGACAGTGTATGTTTGTTTAATTTTTTTATTTGAGCACTTTTAAATCTTAAAGTACACTATTAAATGAGTAACTTGTAAAATTTTCGTTATAAAATAATTAAAATCAGGCTTTTACCAACAGGTTCTTTGAGAACC